ATTATAAAAAACTACAATACACAATAGACAACTTGATAATTTCTACAAATTGTTCATTTCCTGTTCTATCTCACAGCAGAAACACCTGTTGGCGTCATCTTGATCCTTAAAAATAAACTTGTCCTTGGATGCTTAAGACAATCATCAGATTTTGAAAAAAAAATTCTCACAGTCTCACAAACATTACAGTACCATGTTGTTCAACATTAAACTTTATTAAGATATTCATTTAAATTGATAGAAGCATTTCCAAGCAATTCAACTACTCCCGAAATTAACCAAGGAGACATCTTCTGTGTTATTGTGCAATCTTTACAGCTAATTGTAAACCTAACATGTCATTAACCCTTTTTAACATAGCAATTATTATTCATTCTGAGAATGGCATGGATGAATTTTTGTGTCATGTAAACAGGTGGCGATCTTGGAATCAGTCTCAGAAGGGTCTTGGTAATGTAACAGTAACCCGTCTGATAATACCTTATCTGTTTCCTGCAGACTTTTGTCATTATTCAGTGCCATTGCTGTGTACATCCAGGTGGATTTTAAGAAAAATTTCAATTTCTCTTAGATGATAAGCAAGCTAAGAAAATTTTAGAACCTTTCTCAGACCACTTGCGGTTACAGTACATTTACATTTCATAGCACCCATGGTCCGAACTGAGACAGGAACCCATTATAGCGATCTTATGTAAAAGGGGTTATTATAGTCAACTATATTTGAGAAAATTCATGGTATCAACCTATTATGAACAGCAGACAAACCACAAACAGGTGTACATCCTGTACTTCATTCATGTCTGCCAACTTCATTTTCACTCTTGAGAAAATCAATAGTTTTATATAGTTTTGTGAAAATAGAAAAGTCAAATTTATGATAAAAAATGTAATAAAGATGGAGAAACTGGTAATAAAATTGAAGATAAATTAATGGTAAACTACTCATGAGTACTAATTTGACCAGCAGTCCTTTCTCTTCAATATTTAATATATACCATGTGTTGTTTTGATGAGATCAAGTGCAATAATTTTAAATATGTATTTATCAGTATGTATCTATATAGAAGAGTATCATGTTACTATCATATAGAAATATATATTAAACTAGACTGGACAGTACTAAACTAGTCTAGTTTTTTAATGATCAATACAACCTTTCCCTCATCATGCTAATCTGTAGAAGCTAATCTTGGTACTTGTATCACAAGGAGAAAATGTATCCATCCAATTTGCAACCTTAGTCCTCAAGTCAACAAAATCAATAAAAAGGACATGAGTCAAGTCCAATAATTATCTTATACCATTTAAGATGGAAAAGAAGGATACATTCTAGTGTCTGTTTTTTCCCATGCACTGCGTCCACAGTGAGTGCATTTTGTAATGCACATCATTAGGAAGAATCTCAGAAACAAGACTCATTCAAGTATAGTGGGGAAATCTTTCGATGCGGAACCTTTTCTTATTCACTTCAGAAGCCTTATCAGGATTTTCAAACCAACTCAATAAACCTTTTATAATGATATATAAAGTGACCTTGAAAATTAACATAAATTTCCAAATATTTTTTTAAATGGCAATTGGTAATCAACAATGCTTAACAAAAACACTTCATGAATAACAATTGCTATAAGCTTGAGGAAGACCAGAGAACCAAACGTTGCATTGTTAAATAAAGTAGAAATCTTCATTCATAAAGTGTTTTGTGTTTTTTTTAGATCTCAAAGTTCATAAAATATGCTGGTGTAAATCCAGTGTTATCTCCACCATCTATTTCTAGTAATATGATAAACAATCTAGTAGTATCAGATAAGATGAAATGTGATAACTATGGAGTTTGATTAACAATAAGAGTATAATAAGATATATATTATTAATAAGATAATAATAAGATCAAGGGAAATAGAGGTATTTAACAGTCTCACTAAGTCAATCTTTTCTTTTCTGTCTAATTATCAATATAAATATTTAATATTTGATCTCAACTCTGTGATTGCTGTCTGTTGTTTCTGTTTATACTATAAAGTCATACAGCCTGTTCTAGCAGTGCTGTCACTCCTTCGCATTTCAGATGTGCAGTCACCTTTAAAGTTTAATTAGATCTTATCTTCATGGAGATAATGGAGTAAAATGCACGGAAAGGGTCTTAATGAGAAAGTAGGTTAGGTCAGGTAACAGCCTTGCTAATACCAAGTCCTAGTAGCTTCATAACAAACCAATTGCTTGCAAACCATTTTCAAGTGGGAGCTATAGTGGCTCAGCGAGGCAACTTGAAGGTCAAGATATACTTTTCAGTGATATAGCCTAAAACCTAGAATACAATGGATGAAGATTTCTACTTTATCCCACACAGTACACTGTATCTCGTCTATCCACCCCTCAGAGAGGTTGACAAAAAAACCTGTCTTTACAAAAACTTCTCTCATTGCACACTGCATGACATGGCCCAATCATGTCACTTCATTCTACTTTAAGAACATCAAGTACCATTTATATTATATCTTCATGTTTTATGGATTGTTAAATTAGAACAATGTCTTTATGACAATGTATAATGTCACAGTAATTACACTGTATATTCCGAGCTTTTTTTTGATAAATTTAAAGATCAACTAGCAGGGCTGAATCTCTCAACAAACAATATTCTCAATGACTTGCTTTTCAATCATGTTTCAACAAATTACATTGATTCCTGAAAACCTCATATCAAGTTATGTAAACAATCACTGGAAAGAAAAGTATAAATCTAAAGAATTTAATTTAAAATTGTCTATCCAGTCTTATCATAATATACTTTCAATGGCATTACATCAAAGAAATCAAACCTCCTCAATTAATAATTCAATAAGAGAGCCTAGAGTTTATTTATGGAACACGAAAGGAAATTATAACCACCATTTTGTTTTTACATGCCACCATTTTCCTTCTATATCTATATGATTAATATTAGCTAGTTCAATAAATCCTAGTATATTAATAGTATAATATTTAATATGGGTAATTGAAAAAGACTAAAGTAAATAGATCAAGTCAATATCCTAAAGTCAATATTCTAACATCTTCCAAATCAACATTATATATTATCTTTATATATACTGTAACATCTTCCATATCACTATTATATATTATCTTTATATAGACTGTAACATCTTCTAAATCAACATTATATATTATCTTTATATATACTGTTACATCTTCTAAATCAACATTATATAATATCTTTATATATACTGTAACATCTTCCATATCACTATTATATATTATCTTTATATAGACTGTAACATCTTCTAAATCAACATTATATAATATCTTTATATAGACTGTAACATCTTCCATATCACTATTATATATTATCTTTATATAGACTGTAACATCTTCTTAATCAAAATTATATAATATCTTTATATATACTGTAACATCTTCCATATAACTATTATATATTATCTTTATATAGACTGTAACATCTTCTAAATCAACATTATATAATATCTTTATATAGATTGTAACATCTTCCAAATCAACATTATATATTATCTTTATATATACTGTAACATCTTCTAAATCAACATTATATAATATCTTTATATATACTGTAACATCTTCCATATCACTATTATATATTATCTTTATATAGACTGTAACATCTTCCAAATCAACATTATATATTATCTTTATATATACTGTTACATCTTCTAAATCAACATTATATAATATCTTTATATATACTGTAACATCTTCCATATCACTATTATATATTATCTTTATATAGACTGTAACATCTTCTTAATCAAAATTATATATTATCTTTATATAGACTGTAACATCTTCTTAATCAAAATTATATATTATCTTTATATAGACTGTAACATCTTCTAAATCAACATTATATATTATCTTTATATATACTGTTACATCTTCTAAATCAACATTATATAATATCTTTATATATACTGTAACATCTTCCATATCACTATTATATATTTATATAGACTGTAACATCTTCTTAATCAAAATTATATATTATCTTTATATAGACTGTAACATCTTCTTAATCAAAATTATATATTATCTTTATATATAATGTAACATATTCCAAATAAAGTTTAGATAGGCACATGTACATGCGATACATCTCATGTTTTGATTTTGAATCGTTTCACTTCATTGTATTTGTTTACACTCTTGCGCTTTACAGCTTTCATACAAGCTGAGGCTGCAGTAAAGTTGCAATCTGTTTCTGTGAAGGTATGAATAAATACATTTGTCCATGAAATTTTGCTGAATTTGCATCAAATGTAGTGTGTTGTGTTGACTGGATTATCTTAAAAAAGGGTTCTTAAAAAATCATCTTCATCATGTACACCAGAATTGGTGATAAAATGGATTGATTTCCTATGTATTATCAGTAGCCTTAGGTGCAAATGCTATTATTTGCTATACTATTATGTCAACAATATTTATGCACCTTCAAAATGACTAACTACAAGATCAATCTACTTTTATTTTCTACTGTAACTAATACCTTAGTAATGTCTGGCTTCCATGATTTGTTATAAACGAAATATGTTCCATAACTGGTGGTGATTAAGACAGGAATGTTGTGTTTGTGCATAAATAGAATTAACTCACTACATATTAACCAGTATAGCAGAATGATTACAAATGTTGTGGGTTTTACATGTCCATTAAACATATTATAGCTAATCTATAGTTATATTGTACCATAAAATAAGATAAAATCACACTATTACCATCGTATACAATATGTACAGTTTTTAATATATAAAGTCATGTTGATGAATGTATTGTTAAATTATAATAAAACTTGGAGAGATAAGGTTAGAAAAAGTAACAGCTGCCGTATCTCATGGCTTATGGCACAATTCATTAGTTTTCTAACTTGGTATCACAAATGATATAATATTATGTAAGATCTGACTCCTTTGACCTCTCTAGGTGTGCATTATAAATGATAATGCCCTGAGTATATGAGAGAATACGAGTTATATTTCCTGTGGGTATATGTTCTGTTTACCAATATTATTATTGTTTCTATACAGTACTGCTATATGTTGATAGCTTGATGGTCCTAATGCAGCTCCAGCTGATGATAATGAATCATTATGTAATTAGAATAGAAGTATATTGCTCCGTTTTAATGATCTGTGATGCTAAAAATACAATGGTAAAAAACTTGTTGATTGTTACAACAAGATTCCTGTTAAAAAAACATTAAAAAATGTTTGCTGTTAATGGTTGTTCATGCAGAAAAAAGCCGCATGAAGTCTGTAAAAAAAAATGATTGTGGGAAAAGTATTTATTTTGGATGGTGGTAGTAACGACATATATATTCGGACATGGTCAGTTCCTGATTGGCAATGGAAGAATTCAAGATGACATCACTAAGTATCTATAAATTATAAAAGATTCTCTACAGATTTATTTCTGTATGGACTTTGAATTAGATTTGTTTGGTCGGATCTTTATTAATCCAGTGGTTGTAGGCTAATCCATGCTTCTTGTAGAATTCTTATTACATCCAACTTACTATACGGCGGGGAGAAGGCCATGAATACATTATTGATCTGAGAGGTTTTCTTTTCAAAAGAATCACTGCCCGTGCGTATGACAGTTTCTCGTCGATCTTCAGAAGAGCGAGACAACGAGTCAGTGATACTTGCATCGTTTACAAGTGTCACGACCACCTGACAGTATTCTAGAAATTTCAAGACAATCAGATACTTGTAGCGGAAATTCCTATCTGAATCCAAATTGCATTATGTCAAAATCACGACGGATATAACTAGTGACCAAAACTATTCATTTATTAACTGCACCGATACACGCGCTTTTCTAATAAGCACACTACCGACGCGTGCCGTGAGCTTTAAAGACCTACTCAAGTGTTCGACTAGGAACAAATTTCTCAACATACTGTTCAATCTTGATAAAAAAAAATATTCTACAGGTCACTTACCTTGCAATGAGAACATGTCCAATGAACAGAGAATTCCACGGTGCAATCAAACCTATCGAGTAATTCCTCAAATCCAGTATACTTTTGGTAAATATCCTCGTCCAAGTCCACTAAATGATTTAAATAGCCCGAACATTCCTGTATGGGACCTTGTAAGCGACTAGCCATATCGGAAGCACTTATTAAATTATATAAATTATATGAAGAACAGAATTTTAATCTGAATTTTCGAGTTTTCTCGCGTCTATCAGACACTTGCGCAGCACATAATTTCATACTTTGATTTTTCGTTAAATAAAGGCACTGCTTTGAAGAATTATCAATGAAACTTGCAAAAGAATAAGCCAGGGGATTAGTAGAAGATGCTAGAGGGGTACATGACACTAATCCATCCGCAGCCCAAAAAGCTGCGATTATCAAATAGAAAAAGGCCTTGTGCCAGTGCTTAAAGAGGACTTCCAATGGAATCTCAAATAGCCGGGCCCCATTGCGGCAAAGCATACGCATAGTTCATTTAGATTTACAAGGGGCATAGACTTTGGAACAATCATGAAAAAATCCGCTATAAAACTGCGGATATTCATATATTTATCCGAGCTCAATACCCGTGCGATTCAATAACATTATCCAATTTTTCGCAAGAATTTTTCTTAAGGAATTACAACACTCCAAGAATTTTCCGAAGAAAGAATCACGGCTGCTAAATACGGAAAACATTTAAAACAGTATAAAAAGTTTATTAAAAGAAGCCGCTATTTCCAACCAACATCCGAATATTTCACTCTTGGCATAATCGTTATCCGTTTATCCACGAAATCTTCTTAGAATTAAAATCACGGCATTAAAAGATGGAAACACTCGTCTGCTAGAAGCTGACCTGATAGCCGCCATGTTGCGAATTTAACAGTAAAGATCTTTCTACGCATGCCCACAGCGAATTAGCTCATTTTGGCAGGAATCATCAGCCCCGCGTGGCGCGAGCCACTTGTAGATTCTCGCATAAATATTGTACTGATTATGCACCGATTGGTAAATGTAGGTTTGGTATAAATACGTAACCCTCTCTGTTTTCGCCACAACTTCTGATAAATTTATTGAACTAACACAGTACAAAATTCAGTCGTGCCAAAACTGTAATTTGTAGTGAAGAACAGTGGATATAGCCATCGATTTCATTTCGACTTGTATATAGTCGAAAGAGATATAAATGAGAGGACGGTGATTTTAGCAGCACTGAAGTAATTAATCACTAAAAACCCACAATTACTGTTTATCGCTGACTTGAGTGACTATTACAAATGTACGCCTACTTCAATCAAGCACTTCTATTGTGCTTAAGCTACAAATCGCTTCCGACACTTTCTATGCCTGACGAGATCAAGAACTAGATTTGTGGTTCCAATTACAAGCCAAATCATGGAAGGTTGAAAGACGTGAGGGTTGGTCAGGGAGATGATTGTAAGAGATGTATTGTGTGCTACACGTGTTACATGTTAACTATGTTAAAGAGAGTTGTTGAAGAAACGACAACGTGTTCATAATTTGTGATGTTTTTTATTGATAACACTTTTATTTAGTTCACATTATTTTATTGCTGTTAATTAACAACACTGAAACCTGATGATCTAATAATATAGATTACTGTTCATACGTTCATTTGTACTTGTCCTGTTCACAATAGCGTGATTAGTGAACACAATTGAGTTAATTGCATGGTAACGGTTAGTTAACGGCATAGCGTAATGTGATCAACAATTTATGTCTATTTTTCATCACTTTTACCCAATATTGTTCACAGTTTACAAGCAATTTATAGAACTAATATCGGGGAGCCTATATAATAAATAGCCATGTTCAATGGAGATATAACGCTGCTCTTTTCTGTACAGAATTGAGCTCAAAATGCAGTATAATGCGGTATTGCAATGTATGGAATTCTAGCTAGAACATTGGCCAACTCTTTAGATTAACATGCAGAGCAGGTAGCAAACGGATTGATTATCCATTAGAACTCGGAACTTTTTTCATATCAGGCGCCTCCAATTTGTGTCACTAACATATATTTCTCCATTATGCCTTAAGTGCTTAATGCACCAGAATCAAACGATTAGAAACAAGAACCCATACCCATTAAACTCATAAACGCAAAAGAAGAATGGTTGAATTTTGTCACTGGAATGACATTCACAAGCATTAGTTTCCAAATTTTCAGAAGCGTTACAGTGAAATATGGTCACAAATACATAGTCACAACTGAGAAGTGAAAAACAAAACTTTTAGAACACAGCCTATATCAAAATGCCCCAAATTTTTCACCTTGAATGACATTCATATAGTTTCCAGATTTTTTTGAGGCGGGACGGTGACATGATCACAAATAAATAGTCACACCTAAGAAGTAAAAAATAAGTATGTGATGATGGTAGTCGGATCTTGATAGATCCTCTCCATTAAGACATCACTTGTGATGTAGGTTTCAAAAGTTAAATATGAACAGAAGAGAAATATATTATAACATTGTGGTTAGCATTCTGTATTTAGAAAGATAAACTTAATTTGGTTTCACTTCCGGTTTGAGGCTTCTTGTCATCAGCAAGCTTTAAAAACGAAGATTTTTGTAAACAATTTTTGCTGGATTCGGATAAGCATACCATTTCTGTAATTCGGATACAGATGTAGAATCCAGATGCCTGTTTTAGAGCATGAAAACTACCATGAACTCACTTCGGGTTTGAAAAAGTCGATCTTGTAAAGAGCCACGATGTTATATTGTGATATGGTGATGTAATCAGTGTTTTTGTCCAACTAATTGTTATCTTGTATTGTTACCAACGATTTCCTATCGAACTCAACCTTTGTAGATTGCAGTATAATGATTGTCTATCATCTTCCATTAAGTCAACTATACACGACTTTAATTACACGAATCGTATTTCTGGCTGTAACAGTAACGGTCAATTTTAGTCGTGACTTCTTCCAATCTCATACTTTTTAAGCTGTATCACATTTCTCTGCTTGTATTGATTCCTAAAGCGCGATTATTCCACCTTAAATAAACACCGCCTTCAGGTACCTGACAACGTCATACTGCAAACAGAAATATCACTATAATACATACTATATGTACGTGACATGTTTTTATAAATTAAATAATAGTTCCTTCACAGACCCCCTGCTGTACTGAAAATATGTTCCTCATTTTTTCAAAATGGTATAACTGAATTGGGTGTTAACAAACCATGCCCCTAGTGTTCAAACGTGTAGGGTAAGTAATGTTTCCAGTAGGCTACCAATGAAGTTGTTTCTAGACTTTCAATGTTTGATGTCTTGCACAACATCTATTTAGAATGTCATCACACCCTATGTTGGATTAGATATCCTGTACTGGATACCAATATTACACAAATTCCCATAGAAAAGACGACAATGGCTTACAGTGCCCTTGTTTGCCCCGAAGTTCCATCGGTCAGAAATTAAATTTTAATTTTTGGAGTTATTGCGGCATTTTGAGGACCTTTTCAAATTAATCTGAAGTTAAATATGCTGTAAAATTTCATGTTCAATGAAATGTTTTAGTCAAATTGCAATTAGGGATGGGATATATATGTAGTTTGGATCCTGTATAAAACAAATCCGCTTTCAACAAAACAAACGTTATGCTAACCCATGAAGATGTGATTCCTGTTTGATGTGGAAACGTAAACGATACACGGATGTTATTTATTTGGAAGCTAAACATAGTTTCAGATGATTCGACCAATAATTTCTCTCAGTAACTCGACACATTTCTCTTGTTATTGAATCACATCTCATATACCACATAAAATAACAATAACAATATTTATTGTGGTTACATTTCCTTGTTAGATTATCGATTATAGAATTTGATATAACTATCGGACATATTATTTTAAAAAATCTTCTACAATTCATATTCCTAATTAAACTGAAAAATGATTCTTGACAAAGACGTGATGTGATTAAAAACATAAAGAATACATAACAGAATAGAGTTGCTGTTACTAGTTCCCGCTCTTCCAACAACAGTAGGTTCGATATATTTACCAGATATATTTACACATTGTTATTCATATTCACCAAAGATTGTGTTAAATTGTTCAACATATTCACCAAAGATTGGGGTAAATTGTTCAACAAAGATTGGGGTAAATTGTTCAACATATTCAACAAAGATTGGGGTAAATTGTTCATCATATTCACCAAAGATGGATACAAATTGTTCAACAAATTCACTAAAGATTGGGGTAAATTGTTCAACAAATTCACTCAAGATTGGGGTAAATTGTTCAAATATTCACCAAAGATTGGGGTAAATTGTTCATCATATTCACCAAAGATGGATACAAATTGCTCATCATATTCACCAAAGATGGATACAAATTGTTCAAAATATTCACCAAAGATTGGGGTAAATTGTTCAACATATTCAACAAAGATTGGGGTAAATTGTTCATGATATTCACCAAAAGATGGATACCAATTGTTCAACATATTCACAAAAGATTGGGGTAAATTGTTCAACATATTCACTTGGGGTAAGTTGTTCAAAATATTCACCAAAGATTGGGGTAAATTGTTCAAAATATTCACCAAAGATTGGGGTAAATTGTTCATCATATTCACCAAAGATGGATACAAATTGTTCAACATATTCACAAAAGATTGGGGTAAATTGTTCAACATATTCACTAAAGATTGGGGTAAGTTGTTCAAAATATTCACCAAAGATTGGGGTAAATTGTTCAAAATATTCACCAAGGATTGGGGTAAATTGTTCATCATATTCACCAAAGATTGGGGTAAATTTATCATCATATTTACCTAACATTGGAGCAAGTTGTTGATTATATTTACCTTACATTGGAGCAAGTTGTTGATCATGTTTACCTTACATTGGAGCAAGTTGTTGATTATATTTACCTAACATTGGAGCAAGTTGTTGATTATATTTACCTTACATTGGAGCAAGTTGTTGATTATATTTACCTAACATTGGAGCAAGTTGTTGATTATATTTACCTTACATTGGAGCAAGTTGTTGATTATATTTACCTTACATTGGAGCAAGTTGTTGATTATATTTACCTAACATTGGAGCAAGTTGTTGATTATATTTACCTTACATTGGAGCAAGTTGTTGATCATATTTACCTTACATTGGAGCAAGTTGTTGATCATATTTACCTTACATTGGAGCAAGTTGTTGATCATATTTACCTTACATTGGAGCAAGTTGTTGATTATATTTACCTTACATTGGAGCAAGTTGTTGATCATATTTACCTAACATCGGAGCAAGTTGTTGATCATATTTACCTTACATTGGGGCAAGTTGTTGATCATATTTACCTTACATTGGAGCAAGTTGTTGATCATATTTACCTAACATTGGGGCAAGTTGTTGATTATATTTACCTAACATCGGAACAAGTTGTTGATCATATTAACCTTACATTAGAGCAAGTTGTTGATCATATTTACCTAACATTGGAGCAAGTTGTTGATCATATTTACCTTACATTGGGGCAAGTTGTTGATTATATTTACCTTACATTGGGGCAAGTTGTTGATTATATTTACCTTACATTGGAGCAAGTTGTTGATCATATTTACCTAACATTGGAGCAAGTTGTTGATCATATTTACCTAACATTGGAGCAAGTTGTTGATCATATTCACCTTACATTAGAGCAAGTTGTTGCTCATATTCACTTAATATTGAAGCAAGTTGTTGATCATATTTACCTAACATCGGAGCAAGTTGTTGGACATACTCACCCAACATTGGGGCAAGTTTTTGATCATATTCACCTAACATTGGAGCAAGTTTTTGATCATATTCACCTAACATTGGAGCAAGTTATTGATCATATTTACCTAACATTGGGGCACAATTTGTTGAGCATATTCACAATTTGTGGAAGGTGTCCCTGTACATGCATGATTTTGCAAATTACAGGAGAATTAAATGATTAGTATATGATTATAGATTGGTATTATTATAAGAATTTCGACGAAGGACTTACAATTCATTAAAAGAGTCTGGAGGCAACGAAGTAATTGTAGTGATCGATAGTAGACGACAGGGTGTCGACATTCTCATATATCTCTTTTTTTTCTTACTGTATAACGTATCTGCGGGATATATGATATTAGGCGGCCATGTTTGAAGCTCCGAGTTATTGAATCTTCGGGACTGAAGAGCTACTATGGTGGATGTATACCTTCCAGGGAGTTGAAAGAAAGAATTTAGAGAATTGTTTATTCGGGTCATATTTACCTGTTGATTCGTCAATGCAAGTTCTAACATAAAAGATAGCTTGCCAAGGTAATATACGCCCACTGGCATCTTTGATTTTGAATAAAAATATTTAGCAGTACAGTAACAATCACCAGAATGAAAAATTCAACACTTCTTTTGAACTCTTTAGAGCGATACTGAATAATATGGAGTATGAGTTTTTTCCCTTGTTCTTGAAAACGTGTTCAATTTTTAGCTCGTGAAAACTCTAGAAGGCAAATATTCAATCTTCAGCGCTGGAATGAATAATAAAACCAAGTTTTGTCAAAATCCAGCAAGAATCATGCCTTTTAGTGTTTAAGAGCTAAATTTTAAATCGTTTTCAAGAACAAAGGCAATAACTCACACTTTTTATATTTTTAAATTCTTCTGATTTTCAATAGGGTTCATCATTGGTTGAGTACGAACATTCACACCATCAATATCCCTCAAGAATTGTGCCTTCTAGAATGATTACGAGCTAAAATAGATCGAGTACTAAATATTTTTCGATTCTTATGATTTTCAATAGGGTTCATCCTTGGGTGATTACGAACACACACATCAAGTTTCGTCAAAATCCATCAAGAATTGTGCCTTCTAAAGTGTTTACGAGCTAAAAATTGAACGTGTTTTTAAGAACAAGGGCAATAACTCATACTAAATATTTTTCGATATTTCTGATTTTCAATAGGGTTTATCCTTGGTTGATAACAAACCCTTATGCCAAGTTTCGTCAAAGTCCATCAAGAATTGTGTCTTCTAGAGTGTTTACGAGCTAAAAATTGAACGCGTTTTCAAGAACAAGGGCAATAACTTATATTAAATATTTTTCGATTCTTCTGATTTTCAATAGGGTTTATCCTTGGGTGATTACGAACACTCATACCAAGTTTTGTCAAAATTCGTCAAGAATTGTGTCTTGTAAAGTGTTTACGAGCAATTGTTTGACGGACCGACGGACATGGGTGACGGCAATATACGCACCCCATTTCATGTGGGCATATAAAAATGACTTCGGAGGCCGATGTAAAAGAGATTATGGCATATCTTTAATGGGAAGTATGCGCCATGACGGGGAGGGGGTATGTAGATATTCGTCAGAAGTACTAGAAATGTACGAAAATCGAATATTTCCTTCAAAAATATCTCATTTACTCACTATTTCTATATATGTCTTTTCTATATATCACAGAGTATCTTAAAATGACGAGTCGATAATTCTGGACACATGGATTTAAAGGCCCAAATTTTGACGGTGAGCTGTGAACACCATTACTGATTAGCTAGCTAAAAAAATCCAGTTTCTGAGACTAAAGTATGATTGGTCAAAAAAAAAAAATGGCACATCTGTCCCTTTAAGGTTACTAACCTGAATGACATCAACTGACGACAAATGAAACTGGTAGTTTTTTTTCGAAGAAAGCTAGATTTTGTGTAAGGACTAAAAAGAGACAGACGAAGCCTGATAAAATCTTGGACTCATAAGCTTTGAAGGAAGACCTTAATTATAAATTTAGTGTTTTCATTCACATCGATAAACTGTCTCAGAAATTCTCAATGAAAGCTAAGTTGACATATTTATTGATTATATAGGGTGACCAGTATTGTATCAAATATGCCATCTATTGATGCCTCTGGGCCAATCTTCATATCATATAACATCTTCCAATCTAATATGTAGCAAGTAATGTTCTTAACAAGAAATGACAGTGACAGACAAAGTTTACTGTAGAGATTTGTAGAATCTGATCACGTTTTCATAAATAATGAACAACAGTCAATCTTTCTATTTCCATCTGAATTTTGACTTAAACAGAATTTCCGCAAAAAATTGCAAGGTAGTTCATGGAGCTGCACTAAATATTTTTCACCAAGATAAGCAAATGCAAACAAATGCATCGAAATAAATTTCAATGTACATATTGTCATTATGATTGTCCCATAGGCTTGATTTAATTGCCAAATCATTTGCAGCCCAGTAACAAGTAAACCCCAGTACAGGTGTTCAGTTATTGACTTATAAAATTGTTTAAGGGTTGATAAAAACGTGCTGCTGCACTAAATATCCCCCTCCCCCAAAGATAGTCAGGCCGGAGACAATACAATGCAATATATCACAATTTTCAGATTGTCATTACATGATTGTCATCGGACTTTATTTTATTTGCTAATTCTGGCACAGTTCTGCTCAGTTACAATTCAACCTTGGCATAGGTAATCTGTTATTGACTTCATATTGCCCTTGGGTAAGGGGATTGAAAAATTGACAGCCCAATATAGATAGATTCATTTCATGACAATTTTGCCTGTCTATGATATGACAATATCGGTTTTCTGTCATGCATCATAAGGAAGTGTTAAGTTGTCAGCTGAAATCAATATGACCATATTTAACCCTTGTTCAGAGTTATTGACAACACTAAAATACCTCCTCTCGACTGTTTTTTTTTTATCCTCAGAAGTTCTTCCTAAACCAATTATAGAATTGCTTACCAGATTTAACACGATGTCTGTTTGTCTAATCATTCGTGTAAGCATTATTTTACATAAACATGTATGTCAATATATATGGATGTTTGAATCTTTCTGTTGATGATGTTGATAACTTCTAGTTGACACGAAAATGTTCGTCCAAATCTAGCTGTTTTTCGTTTGTCTATCTGAATCTGCTGCTGGTGTGAATATGTCTTTCTATCTGAATCAAGCTAATGATATGAAATTGTTTGTCTGTGTGAATCAAGCTGCTGATCTGAAGTTGTCTGTCTATCTGAATCTTGTTGATATAATTGATATAATCAAGCTGCTGATCTGAAGCTGTCTTTCTATTTGAATCAAGCTGATGATATGAAGCTTATCTTTCTATCTGAATCAAGCTGACGATATGAAATTTATTGTTTATCTGAATCTCGTTGTTTATATGAAACTGTTTGTCTATCTGAATCAAGCTGATGATATGAAGCTGTTTGTCTATCTGAATCAAGTTGTTGATATGATGTTGTCTTTCTCAAGCTTATGATATGAAGTTGTTTGTCTATCTGAATATTGTTTTTGATATGAAATTGTTTATCTGAATTTTGTTAATTTGAAATTGTTATTCAATCTGAATCAAGCTGTCAAGCTGTTATACCTGTTATGATTTCCACAGCTTGTTTCTTTGTCAAGGATGAATTAGGTTTGCTTGTGTAAATTTACGTGCTGCTATACGTCGGGAGTATTTTTTTGGAAGTCGACTTAGACGCACCTTCAAAGTGTCAGTTTGGCTCCTAAATGCCGTTAAAACTTAGACAACATGTCTGTAGGAACCATTGAACGGGTGTATCGACTTCCGTGGTCCATCTGTCATCTGGTACTGCATGTAAGTTTGACTAATCCTAAAACCACATGCTACCTATTTTGATTTTAGATGTATTAAAGGAGCCATTTGCGCTGAAAGAGTTGAAAGATTGCCAGAAAATATAACAAATCTAACATAAACGTCCAGAAATTTCAACTTTAACAGGGGTTCACGTCCTTCCACGACAGGGTTTTTATTACTCTGCAGGAAGACTCGACATGGTAACAGTGAGGAATTTTATGAAGAACGACAAGTTAATCTCAGCTTGGATGACTAGGCTAAGCCTTAGAGAAAGATCTGTATAAAGCTGGCTTTTCTTTCACCCTATTGGACAACATTGTCGATTTTCTTTCAAGTGAATAAACTCGTCATGGGCCATGGTTTTTCTTAAAATATGCTTTTTGCACAATGATTCATGAACCAGAAACCTAGATAAGGATTTCTATCCTTTTATTGAGGAACCCCACATTTTTTTTTCAGAAGTAGGAAAATCAGTGACATTTAAATTATTATGTTCGGTTTCAATTAAGCACGGCTTTTTGTCACCTAAGGGGAAAATAACTATAATACGATATACTTGCCATGGTGCTTGATTAAATCAACTAACTCGGCTACCATCAATCAACGTATCACGTGACATATTGATGTGACATCCTGACAATTTAAAGAGCGTAAAATTGTTGACAATTGCAGAAAACAAATTTTCTGCCTTACAAAATATTGATAATTGTGAATATACATTGTATGACGATCTACATTTAGATCAGAAATTAGAACCTGTTTGCTTGCACATAATATAAACGATCCATCCATCTGTAGTTATAAATAGTATCTGATGTTAAAATCGTTTCTTGTGTGCTTTTTCAGCAAAGTAATGCAATGGAAATATTCAGAAGAAAT